ATATTTTACTATGTTTACATGCTGTATAGGAGTGCAATTTCATGTATTTGTGGTATTTTCACACATTTTAATCTCTGAAATACTGTCAGATACACTTTGATTCCTAATGGAAAGTCTTAAACTTTTAATTTAGCTTATAAAATGAAGTTACTGACATTAAATAATATGTACTTTGTAGTGTAGAAGAACACAGTAATAGTGTGAGTAATTATGATTGCTTAAGCACAATTGGCTTGGGTCTGTACAGGAATGTGAAATTTTGCAAGAAGAGAATATTTTTACTAAGTTTTGTAAAATATTTGAGAAACACTTCTTGTTTGAAGTAATATGTTGCAAACAACTTTTTACTTAGCAGTTTAAGGAAGGTTCTTACTTTTGAAAGCAGTACAATTTTACATTTTAAGAATAGAAAAATGTAGGCAGCTGATGAACTTCAGAATTAATGCAGACCACATTTAGTCTTTCTGAAAGTATTAGTGATATATAACTGATTCAATGCGTCTTTCATACGTACCTTTTATTTCATACGTACCTTTTATTTTTATTGGCTATCGAATATATACAGTATGCATCAGATAAATCGGACACATGCTAAATCCAAAGTTGCAGCTTCAAGCAGATTTTAACAGTACTGAGACACATGATTTCCTGTGTAATGTGAAAAGTAGCTGAAGCCTTTGACTATGATTAACTTTGATATCATAACTTAATTGAATGCAATTTTGTTCTGAGAGCTGTTAAGTAGGTAAGTGGCTAACTGGTTATTTAGCTAGTTAGATTGAAACGAAAGATTTTCCAGAGATCACTTGAGCTAACAAAATGAATGTATCAAAAATGAATGTATCAAAAATGAATGTATCAAAAATGAATGTATCATGTTTGTAGAATCATGTGTTGAATTTTAAGAAACCTCTGCACAAAAAGGCATAGGAAAGAAAAACAAAGATCTTTAAAGCTTCTTGCAAAAAGACAAATACCGGAAAGGACCAGGAATGCCAAGACTTCAGACAAGGAAGCCCTCTGTCTCCAAACATGTCAAGGATGATGAACTTATCCAGATAGGAGAGCAAAGGACCAAAAGCGCAAGCGCAGAGGAGAAGAGTTCAAAAGTTCAATGCGGAGGAAGATGATGGTTTGTGGCTCAAAGACCACCAGGGACCCACATAAAAGCCCCCACAAAAAACTACGCATGGCCAGAAGGGCGTGGACCTATTTAGCATGAGAAGCAAAGACAGGCGGGGCCAGGGGTTGAATATGCATAGAAAAGTTGTGTAATGTATTGCACATGGAACACCTTTGTGAATAAAGTTGGGGGGCAGACTTCAGCTCGGGGCACAAGATTTCGGAGAGTTATCTCACTTGTGCCGGGCGCTGCCATACATACCCACTTGATAACTACATCGAGTTGTGGAGTCTATTTATTTATTCCGCATGTCGCTTCAAGATATGGAAATAATTGACTTGATGGCATGAAAGAAGTGGTTTTTTGAAGGCGCTGGAAATTGGAGATTCGAGGAGTGTAATTAAAGCCTCATTAGTAGAAACCAATTTGTTTTATACCTTGCTTTCCTTTTATTTGTTTTTCTATCAGTTCCCTGTGGTCAACAGGCAAGAGAATCTAGATTATCTTGAAACTGGAGAAAATCCTCTCCTCCTGGGGCTGGTCCTGCTCTGCAGTGACAGGCACAGAAGGGAAAGTTTGCTGGGAGCCCTGGTGGAGGTGGCCTCCAGTGTGCTGGCTTCTTCCTGCATCTCTGCCACTGTTCTGTGCAGGATGCTGCTCTCCACAGCCCCTGCCAGCCACTACCAGCCCTAGTGTATTCCCTCCTGCCTTTGTCTCAACCAGGGCCACACAGAGTCTGGAAAATGCCATTTTCAATGGATTAGTCCTGCCGAGCCCCTGGGCATGAGGCCACCCAGAAGCACTGGGCCGTGGGGGCTGTTCTCAGGGCACTGACCCAGCCTGGCTGCTGGCCTCTGGTGACCCCCCATGTCCTTTTCCATGGCAATATCTGCCAGCAGTCCCAGACCTATGTGCTGAGGTGAGAGGGAACAAAGGCGTGCCATGATGTCCCATTGTGATGTCACTGGATGGTGGAGGATAACATCACATGTGAGTGCTTTGCGACCTTGCACTCCTTTCTGTTTATATTCAGGTGCTGATGTCCCTCTGTAGGATCCACCACTGAGTGGTGGATTGTGACAGCACTGGGGGATGGATATGAGGTCTCATCCTTCACTGCTTGAATTTTGGTGCCAGCCAAGCCTGGGTCCAGACCGGATTGATTCTTGACTCCTGCCAAGCATGCCTAGTCCTCATCTGTCCCCTTCTGCTGCAACAGACAGACATGGCCACGAGACAGAGTGGAGCTGCCCCATCTGTCAGGTCACTAAGAATGACGTGGCTTCTGCTCTTCCCTGTCACCAGCAGTTCTGCCTGGTATCCTGCAGCAGGCAAAAAGAAATCCAGCTTGCCCTCTCTGCAGCAGTCCACTAGAGACTATCAGGTTTTCTGAGTGGGGTGGAGAGGATGACATACAATTTGCCATCAGCTCCCCTGAAGAGTCACCAGAGACCAGCAGACAGGCAGGAGAGTTGCTGGGGACCAACAGACAGGCAGGGAGACCTCCCCTCCACCTTGCCGAAATCCAGGAGGTGCTGTTGTTGTCGGAACAGTCCTGCCCACACTTGGGGCAGAAGGCCACCCACAGGCTCTGGCTCTGCAGCTCCCTGCTCAGCTGGGGACAGTGTTCCCTGTGGGGAAGATGGAGGAGACATGAAAGGGCCAGCAAGAGGCCACCCTGATGGTGGCACTAGTGAGATTCTAGTAACCCTTTTGCCAAGGAAAAAAAAAAAAATTCTATTTCTCTGACAAAGTTCCTGGGTTCTGCTTTCTTCTCCTTCTAATGTCTTTGCCTGACCCCCACACCCCACCATCAGCTGAAAGCCCCTGGAGCCACAGGACCATTCTGGCAGCACCTCCTCACACAGGAAATCCTGCTGCAGCTGTGATGGTTGAAGAGCTTCTGAGAAAGTGGGTGCTGTGCACCACATGGTTATCCTGGAAGATGTGTCAGAGCTGCCTGCTGACTTAAATGGATTTTTATAAGGCTTTTGACACAGTTCCCCCCCAAGATCCCGCCCATCAATGAGAGAGAGATGAATTAGGACAAAGCAGAAATCAAACTGAGTGAGTAGATTATAAGCAGAAATCCTGCTTAAAATAAGGAATCAAAATTCATTCTGAAAAGCAGGACCAGCCCTAGGATCAGCCATAGCCATGGATACAGGCCTGGAAGAGTCACCAGAGGCCACCAACTAGGCAGGAAGAGCTGGCAATGCCCTGAAAACAGCTTCAGATGTCTCAGTGTCTTCAGTTTGTCTGTTTGTGTGTTCTTTGGTTGCTTGGTTTTTGGTTGGTTATTTGGTTATTTAGTTATGTCTGGATTGGCATATTCCAGATGACTTTCATTTTGATTAGGATTTGTTAAGTACTGACATTCTGCTTCAGATGTGTAAAATAAACATTTTCATGAATATTTTCCTCAAAACAGTCATTTTTATCTTCTTTCTAATTGAATGTCTAAATGTCCATTTTAAAAGATAGCTCTACTAGATATCAAAAGATATTAACTACTGTTGAAGAGTGCAGGGGTTTTTTGTATTGGAAAACAGTTGATAACACAGTCCTTGGTGAATAATTTCCAAATGTTATGTACACTCACAGCAAAGAAATCCATTATTATATTGTAACCATTTCCAGCATCTGTGATTTTGCTATATCTAAATCCTAAGGATTTAATTCCAGTATATTTAAATTGGCAAGTGGATGTGATTGGAGAGTAATTTTTGGCATCTGTCCTGTCACTGTAATATTAGGAACCTTTCTCTTTTAAGTTTTTTTTTGGTTTTTTTTTTTTTTCTCTGTGGTTGTCTTTGTCTTTGCATGAAGGACTTTCCAAATGAGATTCCACGCAGCCTTTACTTTGGAATCTCATTGCAGCTCTAGACTCAACCATTTCAGAGAGGTCAGCAGCACTCTGTCATATCTTTTCTAGTCCATGAACTTCATTAACAGTGACCACTCTCATTAGTTCTCACACATTTTTACTTTGGTTCATAAAGACTGTTTCTCATGTTGCATTTTTCTACTCCCCTAACCCCATTCAATTAACATCAAATTCACTTTATAAAGTGATCACATATTGGAAATCTGTGTTCACATTCACTACGCTGAAGGTCCATCATGCTTCCTGCTTTCTGTTTAATATCTTATTTGTTATGTTGATTTCAGGGATAGAAAGGTTGCATTAAATGGAAAAAAATATTAAAAAAGCAAGCAAAATTCTAGGTTTTGCTAGACCATTTTACCTAACAAAACCTAGACCATTTTAGTCATTACTACAGCTATTCAGAAACTGAAAGGAAAAACCCAAATTTAGTTCTCAGTGCAGTACTTGTGACCAATGGTAACTATAACCCCCAAGATTCAGTTAAGTAAATAAATGTGAGCTACATGTTGTTGGACTAGAAGATAACTGTTACTGTAAAATGCCAAAAAGCTGATGTCATTTCCTTAAAAATCAACCAATCAAGCAAACACACAAAAGCCTCCTATTTTTAAAAAAATCTTGCCTATGATAATTTTGAATTTTTCTCAGTGCCTTCTATCAGATCCCTAGTGTCCACCACATCCCCATTGTGCAATATTTAATTAACTGCAGCAATCAAAGATGAAAGTGAACAAGTTTGTAATAAAACTCAGCCTTCTGAAATAATGATTCCTGTATCAGCTCTTTCTGATTAAATCTCTCTCCTCCATTAATTCCCAGTTCTTCTAAATACTACACAAATTCATCCTTAATGCAGGGCCTTGTGCTGACTGTCAGTTCTTGCCATGGTGAATGTGTTTCTTTATCTTGTACTTGATTGAGTTGATTCTGAATTCTGCCTACTCATTTGTTCTGCTTTTTCTTCATTTTCAGATTTCTCAGTCATAACTACAGTGTCACAACACAATGCTCCTGACAACTGATTCCTTTTTTGCCAAATTTCACATGTTTTCAAAGATCAGTTCTGCAACTGTCACTTCACCTTTACTGCCGCACATTCAAATGACAGATGAACTTTTCAGCCTTGCAAAATGTAAATCCAGCTCTTCAAGAAACAATCAATTACAAACCAATATGTATTTCCAGCCTTCTTTTTGTAGCCTCTCCATCACATATTCACATTTCAGGTTTGGAGAGCAGTCAATGTATTTCGAAAGTACAGCTTCAGAGCTGGGCTTCTCCCTTTTAATGTATATTAAATACAGATAATAAATACAGCAAACACTGCTATATCTGGGACTACATTTTTGAATGTGCTCACATTTCAGTGTGTCATGTTCTCTCAGTTACTGAGGGATCTTGGACCCCCCAGCACCAGTGGACTACCCCAACAGTGACTTCACTAGGCACTGCATGGAAGCAAGACATGGGAAGATGAAGTTGTTTCTCAAAATTGCTGTAGGCTTGCTTGGTCCAGATTTCATCTTCCTCTGATGAGAGCCCCTCAGGACTGAAGGATTGCACAGGTGCCTGCCTTTGCCTCTTGCTGGGTAGGCGAGAATCCTGGGGGCTGGGGGCTCTCCTCTTTTGGGCTCCCTGTGAGACTGCAGCCCTGTACCTGGCTGCAGATGCCACCCTGGGCAGATGGACCTGCCACCACTGCCTGCTCTGGTTCCTCCTGGGTCTTGTCTCACTCTGTGGAAATGGGCATAGGTGGGCAGTGCCTGGGACTCCCTTGGAGCGCAGCCTCTGCTGCTCCTGCTTCCTCCTCCATGAGTAATCCTGCTGAAACACTGGCAGAAATCCTCTCCTGGGAGCTGCTGGAACTGGAGCTGCCAGACATGGAACTGGAGCTGGAGCTGGCACTGGTCACAAGACTGTCAGTCTCCTCCCTGCCAATGCAGAAAAGCAGCAGTCTCTGGGCCTTGTCATTGCACTTGGCCACAATGACAGTGATGAGGCCATGGACCAGCGGTGCTGTGTGTTCCCCAAGGCAGTTCTGCAGCGTCTGAACCAAGTTCTCCACATTCAGACCATGGAGACAGAGATCATGCAAGATGTTGCTCTGTGCAACTGGTACCAGCTGCCACCGGTCCTGGAATATTCCCTCCAGCCTCTCACACAGCCAGGGCTGCACAGGATCCAGGAGGTGCTGTCACTGGCGGAATAGTCTTGCCCACACCTCAGGCAGGAGGCCACCCACAGGCTCTGATCCAGCAGACCCCTGCTCAGCTGGGGACAGTGTTCCCTGTGGAGAAAGGGACACTAGAGGGCTATGGGGGCTGTTTTCATCCGGGAGGATGGGAGCTGCCCCTGTGTGGTTGCTGGTCTCTGGTACTCTCCAGGGGAGATGACAGCAAACAGCAGATAGTCCTGTTCACCCTGCTCAGAAAACCTGACAGTTTCTGTCAGTGTCCTGCAGAATGGGCATGATGGATTTGTTTGTGTCCACTGCAGGATGCAGCCCAGGCAGAACCTGTGGAGACAGGGCAGAGCAGAAGCCACATGCTTTGGAGTGTCCTGGCAGATGGGGCAATTGCTGTGATTTTCTCTGGCCATTTCTGTGCTTGGCAGCATTTTGGGGAGAGCTGAGGATCAGGAGCTGCTCCCCTTCATTGGCATCACACGCTGCAGAAGAAGCTGTAGTCACTGACTGTCCCAGGGAAAGGAGGAAGGAATGGCCAGGCTCCTGAAGAACACTCTCCCACCTCCCTAAGTCCCATCAACCACCTCATGGGCACCCCAGTGGGGCATTTCTGTGCACAGCTCACCCTCAGTGCTGCACCTGCAGTACCTGGCTGCCCCAACCAGGCAGGGCAGGGAAACAAGAGTGATGGTTCGAGGATGGACACTCTAGGAGAGATGTTGATGGCAGCCCCCAACACACCACCAGTGCTGGAAAAGCCTGGTTTGACTCTGCAGAACCTAGAGTCTTCCTCAGCATGAGTCAAGGCTTGGGCCAGATTGGCCCAGTCACTGCTGGTGCCCAAATAAAATCAGCAGTAGATGTGTTGTCACACTCTGCTGCTTGGGACATCACTTTTCAGAGCCCAGTGATGTCACAGTGGGATGTTCCCCACTATAGGTGCACAGTGCCAGGAAAGAAAAGAAAATGATTTCTTGTTTTGAAGTTCTACATTTTCATGTTGCTCTCCCTTGGTCACCTGAGTCATGCATCCATGCATGACTTGTCCCTGCTCCTGACACATGGCCAAGGTGTCCCAATGAGCAGGAATGGGGTGGGAGCAGTCAGCATGGACTGCCTGTGGCTGGATGATGCCCCCTTCTCTCACTGCCTTTCTGTGCAATGCCAGGATTTGGAGTATTTGGGTGGGGGTGGCCAGCCCTGGGTGAGAGGAAGGATCCTCTCCAGCCAAAGGCATGTAGGCCACTGTGCCCAGCTTCGAGAGGAAGCCCCTGCCAGGCCCCTCAGGCATACTGCTGTGGGGGGACACCTCCCTGTGATCCCCATGCTGACACCCTAGGGTGGTGCCCAGAGTTCCAGGGATACTCCTTTTGGGTGGGCAGAGCTTGGGATGACCCCCAGGCACTGGGACCAAGTAGAGCAACAGGGAGCTGCCAGCAGAGGCCAGGGGTGACAGTGCTCAGTTGGATCCTCAGTGTACCTGTGACAAGATAATTCACCCCTGCTGCACACTCCACCTTTGACATCTGCTGCACTGTGGGTGCATGGCCGCAGCAGGGTTTTCTGTGGGAAGGAGGCACCACTGAGGCACCCTGAGGCTCCAGGGCCCATGGCTGTACCCTTCAGCATGCAGGTGCCACCAACAGTGGGGCACAAGGGGAACGGTAAAGGCATTTGGAAGAGAATCCCACAGACTGTGTGAGTGAAACAACAATTTATTTCCTTTTATTTTTTCCTGACTAAAGGGTTACAGGATTCCTGCTAGCATTGCTGTCAGGGTGGCCTTCTGCTGGGAGGAAGAGAATCCTGGGAGCTAGGGACGCTCTTCTTTGTGGGGTGCTGGGACCCTTGGCCAAGAGGTTCCTGCCGTGGCTGGGAGCAGAGGGGCTGTGGCTGCAGCCCTGGGCAGAGGGACCTGCCATCGCCAACTGCTGCAATCTCTCCTGGCT